AACCTCTGGGGCATCTTTCACTCTTACTTTCTGGGAGGCAATCCGGGGTTGGAAAGATTCCTGTTTTTCCTTTTATGACTTCTCAGAGACTGCGCACCGGTCCAAAGACGATGTGTAACGATCTGTCAGGCCGACTGTCCAAAGACCCTTTTCCTGGAAACAACTCTCTGACATCCAGAGAATTAGCATCTTATCCTGTAAAACCAGGCTGAACTTGCAGTGATATTTCTTGCAGGCTGTTTAATAATCAGCACCCAGTACTCCTGTGTCTTACATATTAATTTATGTGATAATTTGAATTGCATAAACGCAGATTTTCCCACACAATCCGACTTCATAAAAAAGGCAAACTGTTCCTTTTACATGATCACTGGATCATAGAAATGCATTAGTTTTGATGCTGGCATTTGACAACATGCAATATGTATTGTTTGTTTCATAATTGGTTATTTTGTTATGTTTTTATTTAGAAGCATTTAGAATGTTTAATACAAAAAATAACTTTACTTGACTTTTGACATTGTAGACATTTTCTCTGCTGTTGAAACAGACGTTTATCCTGTATGATTTATTTCTAGACTGTTATTTGGAAAGTGCTCGAGAACTGCGGATCATCAATAGAAGAATGAAAAGAGTTGATGCACTTTTCTGCTCCGCATATCTGATTTATGCATTTATGCTCTTTGTTGAACTTCTACTTTGTGTTGATTGGTCACATAAAATCCCCCGAAACACGCCGAAGTTTGTGACCTCCATGTGAAATAATGTGGAACAAGTTCAAGACTCTGCAAATATGCTTACACATTTAAACTGGTCAGCCATTTAAATGCAGCTGGTTTCAAATGCAGAACTTCTAACTGCAGTATTTAAAAAAAAACTCACATGAATAAAGTGATCGTGGCACAGAAAATTCAGCTGACCTTAGCAGAAGAGCTGGTCAGCTGGTCTTTGAGAGGATGTGGCTTTAACGACGCACAGATGAGCTTTTAGAAATCACATTACCTGAACTCAGCTCAGAAGCTCTCTGAAATAAAAAGGCCATAAAAGTAACGTGAGTCCCTTCATCCTCTCATAATGCACGCGCAGAGTAAACACACATACATGTTCTACCCAGAGAGGAAGTGGACAGAGTATTATGACTGGGTCAATATGAAACTGCTTGCACTACCGATTCAAATCCACACGGTTGTTCTTTGGTTTTTTGGGGGGGTTTTTGGCAGAACTTCCCAAATGGATTCATCTGCAAACACACGGACAGATGTGATGAACTGGCAGGTACAGCGGAGATCCTGTGAAGCAACACAGAGGCTTCAGATATCCCCTGACTGAACCGTTAAATAAACAGTTGTATCATACAACAGTTGTATGATACAACTGTTTATTTAAACTGTTTAATAGTTGCGGACTGCACATTACCTTATACTTGTGTAAAACTGAGGGTTTCTGAAGAGACCACTTAGCTAAGCACACAAACACACGTTACAGAAACAAACCTTTCTCAGTTAAGTGCATGTTCTTTTCTGGCCTGGCAACTCCTGCTAACACGAGATACTTGCTTTCATGGTTACTTCAATGAACACTCTGCAGCTTTTTGTTACTGAGCCATTAGGCATATAGCAGCATTTCAATTGCCTACAGCTGGAGTGCTGTATCTTCAGAGGTACAAAGAACGAAAGCAAGCTAAGCTCAATGAATTCATGTTCGATCTGTCACAAAGCACTATCTGTTTTATTTAAGCCTGAGAAGAGTGTATGTAATCGCCTTGATATGTCAGTTGTATTTATTTTTCATAGAGGAATGTTTGTTTACTACCAGAAACATCTGGTTTCCACCACTTTGTAAAGTGGACGATATTGAGTGATCATCTCTGCTGTTATATTTGGATACACATTAAGTTTGTTTCTATTTATTTGTCTACATTTTGGTCATATATATCTATTTTTTTTTTCTTTCAGATGAAGCAAACTAGATTTAATCGGATTCCCACACATTTAACATTGCAGTCTTGCGCATCCAAAGTAGAGCAAATTTAATGAAATCAGTGCTTTGCATAGCAGACACCTCAGCAGCTCGGCAGGAGTTTGAGGATGAAGAAACAATTATTTTCCTCACTGCACTGTGAAAGAAGCATTGCTGAGAGAGAAGCCAATGTTCGCATCATCCTTCTTTTCTTCTTTGAAATGTCATGCATTATCACAGATGATGATGTGAGCTCGCTCTTTGTTAGCTGGCTATCTGTTCAGCATCTCTTTGACTGTTTGCTTACAGCTCTGCCGCGTGAGATCTATAAAACTGCTGCTGGACATGCAGCACAGCGCATGCATTGCCTGAGGAGTTTGCTCACCTCTCCAAACCATGAAAGTCAGGCCTTTCAATCACTTCTAAAGATAAAGGTGCATCAAATCCAGATCAGAGGAATGTAAACCGCTTCTACAAATGTTTTTGTGAACAAACGGGTTTGCTTTTTGCAGCTTGGTGATTTCCAGAGAGCGAACCATGATGAGATCCACCAGAGCAATAAGTCTACTGTAAAATTTCATTCGAAAATGTCTAAACCAGTCGTTTCAGTTGTCAGAAAGCTGAAAGAGTCAGACGAAGTGGTATAAAGCATGGTGCAATTGGACTCTAGAGCAGTGGAGTCGTCTTCTCTGGGATGATAAATCATGCTTTCTCTGGGATTCCAAAGAAGAAGTCTGGGTTTGGCCACTGCCAGGAAAACAGCACTTGGTCTGACTGTTTTGTGTCAAGAGTAAAGTTTGGAGCAGAGAGGATTGTGGTGTTTTTCAGGACCGGCGGTTTTGGTTACAGTAGAACAAACCTTTCATGCCTCAGCATCCAAATGCCTTTCGGGCTGGGTCATTGATGTTCCAATATGACTGTGCACTAATGAAGTTTGTTATGAAAAACGTTGCCTGGACTTACAACTGATAAAACACTTACGGGATAAATTGGAGAAGTAAATGAACATGAACATGCAATTCTGGAAGCATGTTCAGAAATTCCTATAAACACCTAAACCTTATAAATAACCTAAACCTTATAAATAACCTGCTGACTTGAGTTGTGGCTGCTGTGGCTGCAATGGTTGAACCACCACAATATTGAAAATGGGTTGTTATTAAAGTTTGTTTGTGTGTAAAGGCAAGGCAAGTGACCCGATAGCTTTAGACGTATCAATGAGAAATCAACTTCAGCTTACATAACAATCATAGACCACAGATATGAAGAGCTGAGCACAGTCAGCTTTACATTACACACATATTGCACATGTCATACATGTAAACAAACCATTTCATTGCACATACTGGAACTAATGTATAATAAATTACTTTTTATCGTATTTAAGCATATTCAGGTTTTACAAAGACAAACGGTAATAAAAAAATTAAAAACAATCCGATCAGAGCTTGAATAGGCCCAGATTTTATTCTCTTGGTATTCCAGGCTGGTACAGACAAAAACAAAAGACTTGCAGTGAAAAAGATCAGCCATCTAAGCCTGATCTGCATTCCGGCTGAGATGGTTGAATGGAGATACACGCCACACTGTTAAGATTTCAATTGGCAAGGAAATTCGGAAAACATGTATCAGCATGCTTCCACTTAACAGTTGTGTGCTACTTTGCTTTTATGTATCACATGAAACCCAAATAAAATAGAACAAAAGCTGTGATTATTACAGAGTTAAAATGTTGAAGGGCTATTAATATTTGAAAAGATGGCTGTTTCCACACACAATGAAAGCAGTCAGATAGCAGCTACTCAATGTTATTAATCTCTTCTGCAACATATATATAAGCTAAAGATATGCTTATCACAATTGAGCAATTATAAATGTTCTTTATCTTTGAGCAACATTGAATGTTAAGTGTTTACTCAATCGATCATTATTGGCTCATGAGTGATAAAAGTGAGGATATGCCTGTGTTCTCTGACATGCATTCAGAGCTTGTACAAATTTTCAAAGGCCACTTTCCTAAAGAAACTCTAGAAAACTTTTATATGTCACACTTTATCTTGAATCTCTTTATAACACAGCATCTTGCTTGAATAAGCGTCACTCTATGAATGAAAAAAAGAATAAAGATTCTCAGCTTATCGTAAAATATTGCTAAAACCTCTCTTTACCTTGTTTTCATGAACGTCACGTTTTTCATCTTGTGAGTTTGATGTGTCATAACACGCCCTGATATCAACTGGATTGGAATAATGACTAATAATGCAATTGGATTTTAAATTAGGATGAAGTTTTTTTTGAATGTTGAAAAGCAGCAGAGCAATTCTGGCGATGGAAACAGAAAATAAAGAGCTCACTACAAAGCTGTTGTGTCTTTGCAAGTACCCTTCTGCCCTCATGTTTTATTATTAACAGCTTTTAGAACATGTAATTAAATCTCCAATTCACCTAAAGGGGAGAAGTCAAGGCCGAATGGAGAAAAAGCAGAGCAATGTTAAAATAAATATGGAATTATTAGTGTCAATGTATTGAAATGCACTGATCAGTTTTTTCCTTATCAACACCAATTTTGGTCAGGAAAAATCCAAAATTGTGTAGCCAGCTGATTCCAGTTTTGACTGGTTGAATTTTCATCCACACAACATGTAAGGATATGAAATGTGCTCTTGGTGCTTTGAGATAGCCGCTTTGAATTTAGCAGAAAATGAAGGAGACAAGTTCAGAGTGGAGGCCTTTTGCAGGCGTTAGTGCCGGTCATTGATTGTTGCATCTCCTTTTATTTGTTCAGATTTAAAACATTAAACCACGTGTCATGGACTTCACTGACGGGTTACTTTTAATTTATCACTTTTATCATTAATGTGTGCGTTTGCAAGACTATGAATCTATAAACGCACAGTAGTTCTGCTGCCTGACTGGCTGAAACTTTTGGGGACACCTGTTGATACCTGAACAAGGAAGAAAAAAAAAACATCTTCAAAAGGAAAGCACAGGATGCTCTGGTCTCAATCTGGAAATAAAGAGAACCCACCAGCTGAACTCACCCTGGCTGCTTTGGAGGTGTACGGGTCGTCAAACAAGGCCCACACTTTGGGTCGCCAAACTTCCCAGCACCCCCTGGACCTGTCGCTGCGGTCCTCAATGCCGAACCGTCTCGGCGTGTCTCTGTCGTCTTCCGTGTCCTCCGGGTCGGGCGGCTCGAATATCTCCAGAGCCTCTTCCGCGTCCCGGTGCTGCCGGTAGGTCATCCAGCAGCACGGCTCCACGTCGGTGTCATCGATCCCCCAGAAGGCCAGCTCCTCCTCGAACAGCGGGCCGCACACGTCCGCTGGACAGTGCAGCTTCCCGGTCCGGTAGTAGTTGAGCACATAGGCAAAGATGCCCGGGTGTCGGTCAAAGAAGAACTCGGAGACGCTCGGGAGCTCGGCGTCCGATTCGGAGCAGCAGCCCTGGGAGTCCGGCTCGGCCAGCCAGGCCAGGCGCGTCCCCGGCAGCGTCCGCAGGGTGCTCTTGTAGGTCTCGTGCCGGGTGCCGCCGACGTTGATGATGATTTTTTCCGAGTCCTCCCCTCTGGCCATCTCCTCCTTCAGACATGATTTAGACGGAGGTTTGTTTCCTGATTTGCGCCCTCGGTAAGTCGAAACGCACACAGAGCTGATCATTTAGAAGCTTGTTGCTTCCCGCTGCTGGCCGCTGGTCTGATCAGAAGGCTGAGAGGAGGAAGGTGCGTCCTCATGTCAGAGTCAGTGACCCATGACTTTTCTGCTGCCAGAAGACAGAAAAGGAGCGGATGAAAGCGACGGGAACCACCTGTGGGGGAACCTCGCTGCGGTTCAGATGTTTTCTTTTCCGTACTCTGCGGGCGATTCTTTTGGTTTATTTACGCGCTCTTTTACGCATACCAAAACGCGCCCTATCCAAAACGAATCTCTCCGTTTCGGGCCAAATCCGACCTTCCATCTCTCTCCGCTCACACACACGGGAACGCTGATCCAGCTCAGAGGAACTACCCCGAGACAGGTTGCGCTAAAAACAAAACAAAACAAAACAAAACAACGGGCTCTTCTGGCGCGCCAGATGTGAGCTGGGGATGTGTTACACCTCCTGAAGCGCAGCCTCTTTTCCCTTAGCGACACAGCCCGGTTGGACGGAGCGCGGAACAACAGGCTGACCGAGTTAACTCTTTGCCTGCCGAGGGCTGACGCATCGTTTATTGAATCCCCGACTCCCTCTAATTAGCGCGGCAGGCTCATCAAGTGTTTGTGCGACAAAGAGAGAGAGAGAGAGAGAGAGAGGGGGGGGGGGGGGGGAGACAGACAATTACCCTGCTTAATTACACCTGTTTGCTTTCCCTCCAGGTTGAGGTGCATTTATCATTCATTAAATACAATTATCTGTTATTTGACGTTAAAATATATATATAATTTTTTGTTTAATCTGGTGAAAACTATTTCAATTCTTACACACAGACACTATCTAATTATTTCATCTTATTGAATTGATTGAGTTAACTTTAAATGTTTAGTTTTTGCTTCTTTTCTCGCCCCCTCAATGATTTTGTTGCTCTAATAAGTCAATTACAGGTCACAGTTTGATCCAACAGGTAGTTGTTGGCTTCTTGTGCGATCAGACAACTAACAGCTCGAGGTTTCCCTCTAGTGGACAACATTTTAAATGAAGAGAGGGTCTGAATAAATTGAATAAGAATTTTATTTTGCAAGGTAGAAATTAAAACCTACATTTCTTTGTGATTGTCGGGCCATAACATAATATTCAAAATACATTTCATTTTATCTAAAAGTTATTTGTTTTTTTTTTGTCCAAGGAAAGAGAATTTTGATATCATTAGTTGTGAGCTAAGAACAGAAATGGGCAATTTAAATATATCACTCTTGTGTATCTATAGTGTGCAAGTTGATCCTTTTAACTTACTTATTCAAATAAATTAGCACATTGTTGATATTTAAATTTGTGATGGCAATCACTGCATTCGATGGACGACTTTCATCTAATCTGTCATTCTATTCATGTGTTATCCCAGGAAATCTGGTTTTATTCAGTCCTTTATATTTGGATTTTATCTGAATCTCATGTGTATTTATTCTTATCATCCTTAAATGTTAAAGTGCTTAACACTGAATGCTTAATAAGAGGCAAATGTCATTTTTTTGAACATGTTTATTATAAATATGCGAAGAAACAATGAAACGCTTTCTCCCTTTTTCAGAAACCAAACATAAGTCAGAAATCTTTATCCAGCAGTGAAAGGCTGCAGTTCGTAGTTTTAGTCGACCTCCTCGATAGTGGGACCCTGAGAGGCTCCTCCAGCCTGACTGGAGCCTCCTGCCGCTGCACCTTGATACAACTTTGCCACGACTGGTTTGCACACCTTCTCCAGCTCATTCTGCTGATGTTCATACTCCTCCTTCTCTGCCAGCTGGTTGTTCTCCAGCCAGGAAATTGTCTGGTTGCATTTGTCAATGACCAGCTTTTTCTCCTCCTCACTGATTTTCCCTTTCAGGGCGTCGTCTTCGACGCTGCTCTTCATGTGGTAAGCGTAGGACTCCAGGGAATTCTTTGCCGCGATCTTTTCTCTCTGCTGGTCATCCTCTGCCTTGTACTTGTCCGCGTCCTGCACCATCTTCTCGATCTCATCTTTGCTGAGTCGGCCCTTGTCGTTGGTGATTGTGATTTTGTTTTCCTTGCCCGTGCTTTTGTCGACGGCAGACACGTTTAGGATGCCGTTGGCGTCGATGTCGAAGGTAACTTCGATCTGTGGCACGCCTCTGGGAGCAGGAGGAAGACCCGAGAGCTCAAACTTCCCCAGGAGATTGTTGTCCTTTGTCATGGCTCTCTCACCCTCAAAGACCTGAATCAGGACTCCTGGCTGGTTATCTGAGTATGTGGAGAAGATCTGAGTCTGCTTCGTGGGGATGGTGGTGTTTCGCTTGATAAGAGGTGTCATGACGCCACCGGCTGTCTCAATGCCCAGCGACAAGGGTGCCACATCCAGGAGCAGTAAGTCTTGGACATTTTCTGAGGTGTCACCCATGAGGATAGCAGCCTGGACTGCTGCACCATAGGCCACCGCTTCATCAGGGTTGATGCTCTTGTTTAGTTCTCTACCATTGAAGAAGTCCTGCAGGAGCTTTTGGATTTTGGGGATTCTCGTAGAGCCACCAACCAGGACAACTTCGTGGATCTTGGATTTATCCAGCTTAGCATCTGTTAGGGCCTTCTCAACTGGCTCCAGTGTTCCCCTAAAGAGGTCTGAGTTGAGCTCCTCGAAGCGTGCCCTTGTGATTGAGGTGTAAAAGTCAATGCCCTCAAAGAGTGAGTCAATCTCAATGCTTGCCTGCGTGCTGGAGGACAAGGTCCTCTTTGCTCTCTCACAAGCTGTGCGCAGTCTCCTCACAGCTCTCTTGTTCTGGCTGATGTCCTTCTTGTGCTTTCTTTTAAACTCCTCCACAAAGTGGCTGACCATTCGGTTGTCAAAATCCTCTCCGCCAAGGTGTGTGTCCCCGGCTGTGGCTTTCACCTCAAATATGCCATCCTCAATGGTCAGGATGGACACGTCAAAAGTGCCTCCACCAAGATCAAAGATGAGGACATTGCGCTCTCCTCTTTTGCCTTTATCAAGGCCGTAGGCGATGGCTGCAGCTGTCGGCTCATTTATGATGCGGAGAACATTTAGTCCGGAGATCACTCCAGCATCCTTTGTGGCTTGCCTTTGGGAATCATTAAAGTAAGCTGGCACTGTGATGACCGCATTCGACACCCTCTGTCCCAGAAAGGCCTCAGCTATTTCTCTCATTTTAACCAGGACCATTGAGGAAATCTCCTCAGGACAGAATGTCTTACTTTCTCCTTTATATTCCACCTGGACTTTGGGCTTTCCGTTGTCGTTGATCACCTTGAAGGGCCAGAGTTTCATGTCAGACTGGACCACCAGGTCATCAAACCTTCTTCCAATGAGCCGTTTGGCATCAAAGATTGTGTTGGTGGGGTTCATGGCAACTTGGTTCTTGGCAGCATCTCCGATGAGCCTCTCTGTGTCGGTAAAGGCCACGTAGCTGGGAGTTGTCCTGTTGCCTTGATCATTGGCGATAATTTCCACTTTTCCATGCTGGAAGACCCCGACACAAGAGTAGGTGGTGCCCAGATCAATGCCAATGGATATTCCTTTAGCTGATGACATCTTGCTGGTTGAGATGAACCTAGATAAAATCAGAATTAAAATAATTTTATTTTCAGGATAATCTCTGATGAAAGCCTTCAAAGTGAAAGAAAACTGTTGGGTTCACTAATGCTGATAAAAACCTTTGTGCTGAGCATTCATTTAGATGTCAGTTTTAGAAAAGTTGGCGTGTAGTTTTATCTTCTTAACACCTACAGTGCAGCTTTGAATCATCTCCCCAGGCTTTTTTACTGTCATTCAACACTTTGACATGTGACTAATATACCTCACATTTCAGTGGAGCTAGGAACATGTTTGGATCATCAAGTGACGACTGAAACATTGAACTGAATGGAGTAAGGTTATTCAGTTCAATGTTTTAGAAATGTGACCTTAATGCCCCATCTGTATTTTTGTTCTGACTACAATTTATAGGCCTCTGCCTTTTCAGAAGAACATGTTGCAGGTGAAATGCTGTAAAGTATGTATTTCATTGCAGGATCTCAGTTTCTTTACATGTACAGTATGTATCTTTTCTAACTGTCTTGAGTAAAAGCACCTAATTGTAGCACATCTTCATAACAGTCTTTGCACTTGACTTCTTTTTGTCAGACATTTAATTTATTTCAGATAAATTCAGTGAAACAACATTTCTGCAGTGAGGTATTAACTGGTTAATGTTAGTGTCTTTTACTGGACTATATTCTGGGTTTTTTTTAACAGAAAAACAGTCCATCTTCCTCATTAAGCAAAAATAGTTTCATCCTCTAAGTCTGACACCATAGTTCAAATTGTGTTACCTTTAGCATATTTGTAATAGATTTTATGGAGCAAATTGTGTGTCTTCCCGTCAAAATATTCGACTTACATTTTCAATGACTTATTGCTAGATACAGACTTAAAGAGTAAAACTCAGCATGTCTCCTTTGTACCAACTCAAAGAAATTAAGATGAACCTTCACACAATTTTTTTTCAACGGATATTTAAACCGACTGAAATAATCACTCCCTTCCTTTTCATTCTCCAAGCGTTTTCAATGGCATGTTTTGACTATTTCAATAGTAGAATTCCGGCTACTTACAGTCAGTGGTGATCTCCTTGTTGAGGAAAAGGTTAGAGCCTCGTTCTCGTCAAGCTTCTGCCGTCAGGTGTTTCTTCTGAAGTAATGCCTGGATTGAGTCAGGCCCGTTGCTTATATAGTAACACCCCGGTTTCCAGAAGACTCCCGGTAACCCCTCCTCCTCCTTCAGGCCGAGTGAGGAAACTAATATTAGAAACTAGTGCAGTGAGCTTGGAGCGCGAGAGAGTGTGTGAATATTCTAGAGAGGGAGAGCAGTTTGACGCCCAGCAAGCAGGGCTGACTTGAGAGGAAAGCAATGCAAGGAATGTAGCGTTCAGGCTCATTCTGGAAGCTAGGAGGAAGTTCGTGCTATCTTCAACTCAAATTTTATCTCTAAAATTACTCATTCTCCACACACATACACACAAAACTCCACACTTTTAAAGTCAGTTAAAAAGCGTTGCTTTATTGCTGATTTAATGCATGAATTTACATACATAGTACACACTTAATGTCATTTTAATCACATGAAATGTTAATTAAGGTGACACAGTTGAATCAAATTAAGACAGTGACAATCATATGCCAGACATGAAGTTCATTATTTTTCTTAACATACATCTCATATGTTAAAGTTACAATTAGTACCATAAGCAGTGGAAGGAAGACGCTACGTTTAAATAGTTTTTGTTAAAAAAGGAATGACGATTCGCTAAATTAAGGTCAGCGCTGAAGGTTGGTATAGAAAACCTGTTTCAAAACAAGTTGGGACACTCATGGGATTTCCAAACTGGAGCAAATGGTGCAGATACTCAAACCCATTAAAACTTTGGGCCTAAAGTTATAATGGAAATAAAATGTAACTGTTCAAATTAGGCTTCTCTGCTGCTAGCATTTGATTCTCATAGGCAGAAATGTTAGGCTTTTATTCTTTCCGATAAAAACAATCATTCTTACCCGGAAAGATGAAAATTTCTCTTTCTGGAGAGGGGAAAAAAACGTGTATTTTTCTTCCATTTGAAATGGTGTCTCAACCTCTTTGAACACAGGATCATAAAAAATCAAAAAGGCACATTCATACCACGGCCTTAAAAGGCATCATTCAGGCAAAAGGTTTTTACAGTGACAGAGATCAGGACTGGAATGTGTCAGAGCAAATGGAAAGTTGGAAATAAATGAGGGGAGTTATCATTTATTGAGAGCTCTTGTGGCTTTACTAAACTTCTTTTAATCGTCATGTTGAATTGCAGTGCTTTAAAAAGGTTTTCACATCCTTTAAGCTTTTTCACCTTTTTTACATTTCAACCAGAAACTTAAAGGGATTTTATTTGAGAAAGCGACACACAGCAGCATATTTGTGGAGTGAGAAATAAACGATTCATGGTTTAAATTTTTTCCTATTTGTTTTGCAAATAAAAATCTGAAAGTGAGTCAAGCACTTATATTTGGCCCCTTTTTACTTCAACGCCTTATCGGTATTCATCCAAAAATGGAAAAATGATTCATTAGCCAGAGAAGCAGAACAAGAGGTCACTCTGGAGGAGCTGCAGAGCTCTACAGCTCAGGTTGGATAATCTGTTGACAACACTACTACTAGCTGTGAACTCTACAAAAAGGTTTGTGAATGAGTGTCAAGAACTTTTATCACAAGCCGCATAGATTTAGTAAATATGTGAAAGAGAGTGTTCTGGCCAGTTCCAAAAAAAAACTGTTTGGAAAGCCAAACAGTTTTGTACTTTCCTGTGGAAAAGTGCACATTGTCCCCACTTTGTGACATGGTGGTGGCAGCATAATGCAAGGGGGATGTTTTTCTTCAGCAGGAATTATTGGAAAGTTGTCAGCGTTAACATGGGAGTCCGGAAAGAAAACCAGAGGCAGCAAGTTCGAGACAGGGGAGGAGGTTTACCTTTCAGCCTAAACAACCAGACCTACAATGAAATTTGAACCAAAGGCCTCCATCCAATCTGAATAAGTTTGAACTATTTTGGAAAGAGAAATGAACAAAATGTCAGTCTCTGAAGACGTGCAGCTCTAATTTGAGTAGAAGGTGGTTATACAAAGCTTTGACTCAGGGGAGAAGAAAACTGCTGGATGTAAGACTCTTCAGATTTTTATTTGTATTCATTCTAAAATCCATTATTTCATAACTACCTTGTGACGCTGTCAAAAAAAATGCATATAAACACATTTTTTTTATTCTACGTAATCTAGTGGATGTTACCTTTTAGGGCTTATGTGCAGGTAGCATTAAAAAAATGCTTTCATGCATTCAAAACGACTAAGATAGTGTGCATACCATCATAGAGCTTGCTTTGGCTCAGCCTAAACTCTGGTTCAAAGAATGTGCCCATAAATTCTCCACACCACTGACGAATGAAACAGAAACGACCATCGTTTGGCACTGTGCGTTAAATAGAGTAAACAAACAAATCAACAGCTCTGTGATCAGGAAACAAAAACTCATTAACAACTAAATACACAAAAACATCAATGCATGCAATAGGATGCTCTCTGACCACAAGACAGACCCATGTTAGTTCATTATATATTATAAGTTCTCTATATGTCTTATCCTGAAATAGTTAGCTCTACTCCTAAGGTGCTATTAATAAGTTACATTCAGCATAAGTAAAATAATTCCTCCGTTTTGCAGTAGTTTAGAAAATAAAATAGATATCTCTGTTTATCCCAGGGCAAACGTTTCGCTGAGTATCAGACATCCTTATTAGTACCTGTGAAGTAAAGAAAGTGTTAATGGATTTCTTTGTTGTATGATAAAAATGTGTAATTATAGGAAATCACAAATTGACCCCAACCTGTAATAATTTGGCTTGAACGGGCCGTTCTTGTTCAGCCCCATGTACTTAGCCTGCTCATCGGACAGCTCTGTCAGGTGGGCATCAAAATTGGGCAAGTGCAAACTGGCCACGTACTCATCTTGGAACAGAGACAGAGAATAATTCATTATAGATAAAGAGGACATCATCCTCAGCACTACTAAATAAGTGCTGTAAACCCTATTGGGAGCCATAAGGTGGCAGCAGTGAGCGGAATTTAGGGAAACTCCTACCCATTTTCTTAGGCAGAAGATAAACATCTTGTTTGTATCGTCCTTCTGGAGCGTTGTACAGCTCAATCAAGGCTAGAGCCTACAGACAACACAGAGCCAACAGTAAGACTTTTACAGCAGCACTTGCAAACATTACACTGCCATAAAACTGACCTGAGTGGTAGCAGTGATGGATAACACAAACGTAGGCACTGTAGAACAGCTCAGATTTAAAAGACGACCCTGAGGAAAACCAGAATGCATACAAAGCGTTTCTCATACGTTCAGTAAACAAACTCCATAAAATAGAAGTAAAGTCTGAAGTATGTCAAGACCAGTGAAGTTTCACTGAGGACTTCTCCTGCTACTTTACCTCTGCCAGCACAATAACCCTTTTCCCATCTGGCCAGATGATGTGGTCGACCTGAGAGCGAACCCTCTCCCAGGTCAGCTCGGGGCTGCGTAGACTCGCCTGAAGGAAAATACACACACAAAAAAAAAAACAATTAAGAAGGGAATAATTAAAAGCCATCTACAACCGAACCAAACACCAATGAGTTGGACTGTGCTGAGTTTCTATCACATTTGGATGAAAAGATGTGAATAAAATCACATGAAAATCAAAGCCTTGGCTGCACAAACACTTGATAACAAAGAAATTTAACTATTTGATCATTTACCCATCAATGCTTTAACCACCATGTCTATTCAGTACCTAGTCAGGTCAGATAGGGGATCAATATTATATAACAGTAGGTATTAGGATGAAATTCTACTCCCGGTACCTGATGATGGTCTTCTGTCTGATTTTGTTTTCTTCACTCCATGGTACATAAGTTGAGGTGTGGCCAATATTCACGTGCACAGCTGATTCTGTGCACATTATTTTGTTGATTGACTCTGGGTTTTTCGCTTCACATCTATTGTTTTGTAAGCTTTTACCTTGATGTTCACAGTGGGACACAGAGAGAAGCCGCATCAACTCCTTAGAGGCCCACTGTGTCAGTAACACGATGTTCCCTGATTCCCTCAAGCATGAAAAGACACTGTGCAGCAGAGGGCGCTGTGCTTTTGGCATTCTCAATAATTGTCTTCTAATTGTACAACTCTAAAAATAATGTTTAAAGTCAATGTATGTTTTTGTCTGTATAAAATTAACTACAATCATCATGGATTATATTACAAGCTAAATTATTAATGAGACGTGAAAAGAGTAAAAAAAAAAACACTCCAGATGTAAACATTTTCAGCAGAAGCAGGACTGTAGTTGTAATTTAGAATCAGATATATCAAAGTGTTGCAGGAACATTACAGTAACAGTAATTAACCACAATGAGAAAGGTTGACCTGAGAAAACTCTGGTTGGGCCAAAATATCTGCAGCTTTCAGTCATAAATAGAAACAAAAATAGCTGTGTAAATAAGTATTTTTAATGTATTCCATGTACGTGGCATTAATTTTCTTACCTTTAATGAAGCATCATACTGTGACTTAAGAGTTGGCTGATGACTGTTCTTAAATTATTCAAATCAAGTAACAGTTAGTCACTCAGGGAATAAAAAGGAAAGATAGAAATATCGGGCTGAGAAAGCAAGCCAGTTTAAAGGTCATATTCCACATTCCTCACCTTTAATAATAGATGGAGCTTAACCTCTTTACATCTAATCACTCTAATTTCTAAATCAGGAGCTTTATGATTGTGATAAATTCCAGCAAGGAATAAAACATGAAGGCGTATTTGCAAAGCTCACAGGATTATGAGAACAAAGAACATCACAGGGTTTTTCCTCCATGAAAGTGTATGAATGTCTGCCAACTTGTGCTTAAAACAGGCGTTTTTTTTTTTTTTTTTTTTTAGTGGGAACTTTTTCATAAATAATAGAAAAACAATTAAATTACCACATCGATCTCTGTATTGGAATGTCCCATATTGCAAACAACGCAGCCATTCTTCATTCGGTCAAGATGCTCTCTGGAAACAACGTTCTTGTTCCCTGCAAATAAAAACACGGAAACTGATGACCTCTGAAGAAAATCCCTGAATTAAAAGGGAAGGATATTTAAAATGAGACACTTATTTGCACATGGCCAAAGCTGTGACCATTAAAGCAGAAGTAATAGATGTCACTGCATGCGGCTCCATACCAGTGCAAGTTATCACCACGTCCATCTGCCGGATGACCTCACTCAGCTTGACCACTCGAAATCCATCCATGCTGTGCAGACACAAACCAGATCTTAGTATTTTGTTTACACAAGAGAGAAAGTAAGCGAATTAAAAGGCGACATGATAATGCAATAGTTCGCATCGCAGCTAATTCAATGCACAACACAGAAATTCTAGTGCCGCACATTTATTGATGGAGGAGCGCCGAATGGTAATGCGCAGTGACTCACCACGCCTGCAGAGCACAGATGGGGTCAATCTCTGTGATGCACACAATGGCGCCAAGGGCTTTAAGAGCAGTGCAGCAGCCTTTTCCCACCTACAGATCACCAGGCAGTGCAATAGAAAGGTCAGCTGCACCAGTGGAAATTCAATCATTTCAAGTAAAAGCTTTTGTTCTGTGTGTTTTTGTTTTAATGTCGGAATGACTCACCTCCCCATAACCACACACAACCACTTGTTTGCCTCCAAACATTATGTCCGTGGTCCTTTTCAAGCTGTCAGAGAAAAGTAAAATAAAAGATCACAATCATGCTGGACCATCTTTCTTTTATTATTTTACATAATTTAAAAAAAATGGTAGCAGTAAACATTGGTAATTAAAGACAATGTAAAAAGAAACACTATCAGATTGTCTTCACTATCAGACATTAAAACAATCTAAATGTACTGTCACTGACTGTTTTTGGGCAGAAATAAAAATATGTGTATGATAAAAGTTTGAAACCTGTGGATTTTAGTAAATAAAAATAAACTATACCCCTCCTCTTATTCTTGCATTTAAAACTGATTTTATTTTGATAATCCAAGCGTCTTTTAACAAGAAAAGGCTTAGTCTGAAAAAAAAGCAGACGAGTCTTTTTATACAGCCTACTGTAAATATTTAAAATGTTCTAATCTTGCTCACCCATCCAGAATAGATTCGCGGCAGCAGTAGAGGTTGTCAAACTTCTGCTTCGTAACCGAGTCGTTCACATTCATCGCAGGGACGCACAGTTTACCCGCCTTAGACAACTGATACAATCTGAGAAGACAAATCAGGAAGTGCGTTTAGGCCAATCAGGTCACATAATACCTTTGTTCATATCTAATGAAAGCGAGATGCCCGTCTTTATGACACTGAGCTTTCTGGAGCCTCTGGCTAATTGAGTCTATGGAAGCGTACATTCTGAAGTTATATAAGGGCAAAGTCCTCTTAAACCCACAGTGACATTTGTCAATACCAACATGACCTATATAACACCCTTACATATGTTCCTGTTGACACAATATTCAGAATGTTATTTATAAGCAAATGCATTCAGGTAAAGCCCAACTTTTCCAGGAAAACAACAAACAAATTGGAAGCAAGAAGCCCCGGTGCAGCAGAAATAGAGGCTTGAAATGGAAATGATAAAACTGTCTGACCTGTGAACACCAGTGACGCTCTCCTCCACGATTCCTCTGACCTTCTTGAACACGCTGGGATACTTCTTGTAAACCCAGTGAGTCAAATCTCCACCATCGTCCAAGATCTTTCATTTGAACCAAAGAGGAGATGGGTTAACTGCATCAAAGATTTAGGAATGACCCAGAGAGAGAGAGGTGTTAAATTTATGATGCAACTGTACTCATAATACCATATTGGCCTGCCAGCCGTCGCTGTTGACACAGCGATCGATGCACCACCAGAAGTCGTCCTCTGATTCACCTTTCCATGCAAACACCGGTACACCTGCAGGAAGCAGCACACACGACGAGCAACGACGGAGGACCATTAGGGTGGCATTACATAATAAAAACCACAAGCATAAAACGGTTAACTTTCAAGGTCACTTAGAGTTCATTCACTTACTACTGAGATGAAGTAAAACCTAGTCTACTTTTATCTGTTAAAATGTAGGTCACTACAATAACAGGATTTTATTTTTGCCTAGAATACAAATTTGATAGCTATGGCTACAATTATAGACACAAACTATATTCACTGTTCTTTTTCTATACAATAGTTTTGAAGCAAAACTTAAAATACAAAAAACCAAAAACAAATTAGATTGAAGGATCTAAAATAAATTTTTGTCTGTTTTGCATCTTGGGATTCCAGTCAAAGTTAAAGGAAATGTCTCTATCTGGATGCTTGCAATACATTCAATTATCAATATTTATCACTGTTCTACTGATTGTGATTATCTGAAAAATACTCAAAGTAAGACATCCAGTCATATTTTGTGTAGCCATTGTTTAAAAATTCTAAATTTTTTAAACACTTTTACACGGGTAAAAGTGATCTAATGAATCTGTGTTTTCTCTAACAACCCATAGAACATGTCCACGGTGAAAAAGAGGTTGTGTTGCTGCTGCAGGTTTGCTAAAAAAATATGTATATTTTTTTTCTAAAGTGTGGGGGGCAATCCCTATTATTCATATGCTTTGTAAAATTCAGATGATTTATTATGTTGCTGTTCAGATAAATCTCAACTTTATGTTACCGAAGTGCTGAGAAAACACCATGCTTTAAACCAGTCGATTATATAGAGGGGACGATCTCACCAGTTTCAGCGAGAGCAGCGGCCACCTCGTTTTGAGTGGAGTAGATGTTACAGGCAGTCCAGCGGCACTGGGCCCCGAGGGCCACCAGAGTTTCAATCAGGACCTATTAGGGGAGGATGGATTGCACACATGTGTATAAAAAGTTAGGTAATATGAGCTGTAACAAAAGCTGAGCCTGCAGAGAACAGGACGGGAGGACAGAACGTACGGCTGTCTGAGCTGTGATATGGGTGCAGCCCACTATCTTCGCCCCGGCCAGGGGCTTCTCCCCCTGGGCTCTCTTCCTCAGGGAGATCAGGGCAGACATGTCTGTAAAGCAAAAATATAATTCTTAAAAGCTACAAATGTTTGTTTCTCACTTGAAAATTAATTTTAGGGGTTTTTTGGGTTGGGGGTTTTCAATTAAAAAAAAGAAAATGAGCTTTGGGAGTGTCTCTGATAAGAGTACATTTATGGATAGGACATAAAGATATGCTATAATTTTGAAAATAAAAATGAAAATTGACCATCCACAAACTATAGATTTTAACTTTTACATTTTAGGTGTTCAAGTAAGGAATAAGTAAATGAAACATTATTTTAAATGCTGGAAATGTTTAAAGATAGAGTCAAATTCAGTATTTTCCAATATGCTTCTGGACCCCTGAGTTAAACAGTTGTGTGATGATTGATATAAAAATGCTACATGAATCACAACGTATAAGCTATGTTTGTATTTTTAATAAAGAAAAGATAAGAGTCTGAGTTTGATTGGAATGAGTAAATTATGAACAGCAATTTTTTTGAAATAAAAAAGTAATAATAATAACAATCTCTTCCTACAAGATGGTCATAAAAAGAACAGTAGGAATATGACAAACTACTAGAACAACAGCAACATACCATCTACAGCCCTGCAGATTTAAAGCCTAATAAACACTTGTCAGGCGTTCACATACTTCCCTTGAACAATGTAAACAGCTAGAAGCACAGCAGACAGAAGAGAGAGACTACAGCTCCGCATCTTTGAGCGTTGAAAGTAAAAGGACGCACAAAATTATAAAAAATGTGATCTGTAATAATGTTTTCAGAGTAACATCAGTACTGAATAAGATACGGTCTTAACTGCTGCGAAATTAGAATATAGCTAAATTATAATAATTCATGTAGTGATAGTTAGAAGTTTTGGGGGAAATATTCAGGAATAAGAAACTGCTTTGTTTCTTTGTTTTTCGTCTATGCAGACCCTAACAGCAAAACAATTTTGTCTCCTTTTACAGCAGAGTAGAAGAAAAGCTGCAAACTCAAAACTCACTAATCAGAAAACTACAGTTTGGGTTTCTACTTCTGCAAAGAAAAATATATATTATCTTCAACATAGAGGTAGAAGATAATATATATCTGTTATATCTATATAGATATAATATAGATTTGTTATATCTGTGTGGATACCTTGCTCTGCTATTTCAATTTCCCGCCGTCCGAATTCGGCCTGTTTGATGTTCTTCACACAGAAGTTGGTGCTGCCGTGGCTGTTGACCTGGGCTTTGTCCCGGGGGGAGGTTTCATCATCTGAGCTGTCAGTGTAGGAAGCAGCTGGAAAACGAAGAACACAAAAGCTCACTTTTGTGTTAAAACACACGAGCAGAGGCAATAATGAAATCTATACTTCAAATCTATTGTGAGAAAGAAAGGACCTCTGTGCGCACTTCCTGAGTGTGTGTGCGCATGTGTGTGGACCTGTGTGTATTTACGGCTCCTTATGAAAGTATTCACATCCTCTGAGCTATTTTTCATTTTGTCACAGTCACAAACCCTTAACTTGTTTAATTGGGATTTTATGTCATAAATCAATGCAAAGTAGAGTATAATTGTGAAAATGAAAGGATAATGACAAGTGGTTTAAACATTTTTGATAAGAGTTGAAACCAGTGGTGTTAATTTGAACTCAGCCCACCTGGATCAGTACTTTGTAGAACCTCCAGCTATAGCGGAAAGTCTTTCTGTGGAAGGATCAGCTTTGCAAAGTCGAGACTTTTCTTGCTAATTCTTATTTGCAATAGCTGCAACTCAGTCAGAAACATCTGTTTTTTAAAAGATGTCCACTAACTCTCTAAAAGGCCTGGACATTGACTGAGCCAATTTTACACATTAATATATTTTGAACCAAACTATTCCAGAACTGTACTCGGACACTCTGCCCTGGTGTCGATTTTTCCTGATCTCCTGCAGAGTATTTAGCTCCATCCACCTTCCAATCAGCTCCAACCATATTCGCCTTAGCTCCTAAAGAAAAGTATTCCCACAGCATGACGCAGCTCCCACCGTGTTTCACAGTGAGAAATAGCACTTTTATGTTTTCCCTCACACAGGTCCCTTTGATTAAAAACAAAAAGTTACATTTGGTCTCATCTAACCAAACACCTTCCTCGGCATATTAGCTCTGGTTTATGTACCTCATCCAAAACAGAAATCGAACCTATTTGTTAGAACAAAAGGGTCCTGAGAAACTCCTATTAGTTTATTCAGAGAAACTCCTGGTGTGCCTATTCTTATTCTGTTTAGAAACCCAGAACAGGAACATTTAGTTTCATACTTCACTCAACACAGAGCAGGAGTTAGAACAATATCTGGAGAAACTACTCATTTCCTTAGTTTAAAAAAAAAAACTAGAACAAACTTAGAAAGTATACAATCAAACGATGAGAACCAACGTCTGTTTTTTATCAGAACAAGAATCCAGACATAGCCCTACTAGTTTATAAATGACTACTTATTCATTTTCTTATTAAAAGTGGGGACCCAATATGTAGTTTTATATTTTCACTTTTCTTTTTTATTAGTTTATTTATATACCTCATCCAAAACGGTCCAAAGAAACTTCTTTTAGTATTTAGTACTTTTTGTTTTGTTTGTTTGCTTTTCTGTCATTATTTTGTTTGCATTTCCTTCAACTCGTGTAAAATCCTTCGAATTGCCTTGTTGCTAAAATTATGCTATATAAATAAAATCATCTTAACTTATCCGAAGACTTCACATGGTACATAGTACATGGTTTTATTTTACCAAATCTATTAGCCTAACATCATAAACTGAACTCTGTTTTTCGACCTACCATTGGTTTCCCTTACTTTGTAGGTACCTTGTGTTTCTCCATCACCTAAAGTCCAGATAAAAGACTGAAATGTGTGGTTTCCATGTGAAATATGTGAAAAAGCTGAAGGGGTTTAACATTTCAACTCAGTGTACAGTAGGACGTAGGGTGTTGCTTTAATGCATATAATGCATAAGTCTTTCAAAATAATATGTTTATGTATATGTGTTATAAAAACATTAATGCCCGTAGCACCTGAGCTGTAGCTGTCTGTGGAGGACTGTGAGATGGAGCGTGAGAGCGAGCGGCGACCCGCCTTGGTCGGAAACTTGCTGAACTCCTGCTTGTCCTCTGCATTCGCAAACTGGATCTGAAAAAAAGTAAATCAAATGCAACACTGAAATCACACACAGACAGGGACAGAAAGTATCATCGCCAGATATTAGCAGTGCAGATGCTTGGTAACATGCTTACGTAACTGCTTATATTTGAACTCATTTTGCTGTTTCAGCCTCAAAACTGTCCTTTGAAAAAAAAGAAAAAGGTGAAAATCAACTCGTTTTTGCAACACGCAGGTGGATCAGGAAGAAGAAAGCTGCTGCTTATTTTTAGACGCGCTCAGCTGCTCTGTGATTTATGCTTTGTTCAGATACCCAGGCTCGAGTTGTTGTTGGGGGCTATTTGTTTTTCATCATGCTAACCGAAGCCTTCAAAGCGCCAAAGATCAAAGCCCTGGAAGCACATGAATCAGAACAGTAAAAGCTTGATTAACGACTGTATGTTGTACCCTTCCTTTTCATAAAAGTCGTAACTATTTGAGAATCTGGTCTTTGGTTCCAGCATCAAAACACATTTTTCAAGCTTATGAGCTTTAGACAGATGTAAAGAAATATTATGTTACATCACAGTCCCATACATAACGCTGTTCCTCAGCACTTTACAGCAACACAAGGTCTCCAGGGTCGTTCCATTTTATAATTGGTGATATAAAAATAATAATAATACAAGCTTGGACAAATCCTCTCAGAAAATAGAGATGCATGATGGAATTACGTGATCGTCAACTTGATTGACCCTTATCGGTGATCAGCTGGTCAGAAAGTTGAAGATCCAATCTTCATCTTTTTTTCTGATCCGTGAGCTTCACACAAGATATTGGTAACAACCAAAGTAATGCAGAAATAAAAATTAGTGCATTAATTTCAATTAATTAATTAAGGAAAGAAAATCTTGTTTAAAAAAATGTATAGTTGGATGATTCAGAGGAGTATGAAGTATAAAACCGTTGGTTTGCTTGCATTTAAAACATCTTGAATGTCCTGCATCTTAGATCCAGATGCAGTTTCAAGATATCTCCACATAATCCACATTTTATTTCTATTTACCAAAGTCCATCAACATTGAAAGGCTAATTATTATAGTTGTATGTATTTCTAAACTTCTCAATATTCCTGTAAGCTCTCTTGGAGCCACACCCAAAACTAAAAAGTACTGAGTTTCACCATAAAACAGCTCCAGCCAGAAAGCCCCTCATATTTCTGGCAAAGGAGTTAAAAGAATAGTTAGAAGAGTTGTTCAAGATGCTATTGAAGCAAAATATAACCAAAACATGACTAGATCCTGATCAGGAGTGGCTCTGACAGCCATAATGTCTGCCTTTCCAAGAATTCAAGCTCTCGTATCCATTATCGCGCTTTGATGTTGCGTCCATCTGTCTGTCAGACAGCGCTGTGTAAAGTCATAACACTGTACAGTGTCATGCAATCACGGCTGATTCCCTTGCAGACACACAGACAAAATGCAGAACATTTTTCCTATAAGTCCTCTCTAACTCTCCATCACTCGACTTCTCTGTCTTAGTGGTGTTGCAATGCTGCTTTAAGTCAGTCATTGATTTCCCACACACAGTTCACAAAGCTCCCCTTTTGAGACATTTTGTGATAATGCTGTCGGGCTCCCTCGACCTCTTATTTTCAATGTCCGTATCTTGTGTTTGGAGTGCAAACTGTTGAGCAGGACACTGGAGTTGACAAAACACAGGGACGATGAATCGGTGGGCCAAGCAGTTACCAGAACAAAACCCTCAAGCGACATGCACTGCAGCACATACACTGGCTAAGAAGCTTGACAGAAATTGCGAAGGAGTAACAACTCAAAGACTTACATAAATACAACTAAAGCCAAAAAGCTAAGAGAAGCGTCATGTGGATCAGTTTTCAGGAAGTGACCTCACGGTTGGATGGAAGGGATTCGTTCTCCTGCAAAATACCGACGAGATAACACCAAGCATAGTAGTTTCAGTCTCTTAACTTCTTGACCTTCTGATCCCTTGTCCCAATGTTCGTCACACCTCGACTTCAGCAGTCTACCATACAACTGAAGAGAAACTCAAGAAGCTTGGGAGTCTGGGTGAGCAGAGCAGATCGCTGCATGGCTCTGTTTTTACAACCAAGACTGTGGCCTTTCTCACATCACTCAGTACATTGAGTTTTCCTCTGGATCGTTTCACGTGGATTCAGCACACACTTTGCATTTTCCTTTCCCAAGAAGTTAACATTTAAATAAGACCGTACTCCTGGTTACAACGTACGGTAATGGAAATGATTGTTACTGGTTTGGCTACCTGAGATAACGTCACAAAACCTTTGTAGCTCAATGTAAAACAGTGCTATGTAGAATACTATAACCCGTCTCAAGCCACAAGTGATCCAAACTGATGCTGGGAATTCCAACATCTAGAAAGATAAGTTTCCTGTGAAACATTACAAGCAACTCACCTGTTCTCGCCCATGTCCATGCTTGTGGGCCATAGCTGCCGGTCACTGTCTGCTGCTCTCTTCAGCTTTCTAGCCTACCTCTCTGAGTCCTGTGTGTGTGTGCGCGTGATGGCACCAGGTGTCCCTGATGCTATTATCCCAGAACACTCCCAGGCAGCTCAGGGGGAGGTTCCCACCTATTACCGTAATTTCTAAATGGCCAACTTTGGCTAAAACAGGCCAGGACGTAAAAAGAGAGGTCAATTTCAAACAACCCTCTCTCTTTTTCTCTCTCTTGGCGTTTGCTCCGCAATGTCCTTGACAACTCGCTGCTGAAGGCTTCAGTTTTTATTTTATGAGGATTTTTTTTTTTTCTTTAAGTGCAGAAAGAGCATTGTACGAACCAGAGATATGATGACGCCACACGCAAACAAGTACAAAAACACATTTGCTGAAGCTCGTATTTTCAGCTTGAGTTCCTAATTTGCAGTACTAAATGTACTGGGATTGGCAGGAGGAATTAAACCCGTTCTCCATTAGCCTTCTGCTGCATCATTAGGCATCTCTTTAGACCCATCCTGTATCTAAAAATACCCTTTCTCTCTCAGATAACAGGCCAGGTCAGAGACTTAAGCCGTAGAGTGTTACAGTCGGTCAGTGGCGTAAAGGCTCAGTGTGGCCCCGACATAAGGCAACCAAAACTACTTAACCAGACACCGTCACCGTGGCTCTATGGCACCATCTAACTGTAATCCACACACATCCTCACTGCCAACTGCTCACAGTCGCTGCATTCAACAAGTCAAACACAGGCAGCGCAGCGGGTAAAACAGAGCACACAGCAAGGCAAGTTTCAAGTAAAGTACAAAACTGAAACCAGCAGTCGTCCTGGTATGCAAAGGCTGCAGTTTAAATCAATGCATGCATGACCGATTACACAGTGTTGTGAAAAAAACACTGTGAACTAATCCTGCCTTCCTCGCAGACTATGTGACCTTTAGCTGAAACTATAAGTTCTTCTGATTAAGATAACATGCAGCCTTATTTCATGAATAAACACATGCAGTACAGCCATACTGATTTAAAGGGGTCGTCCAGACTTTTTTCCATGTTCTGTTCAGATGCTGTATTCAATCATTAGCTTGAGGTAAATGACTCTCTTGGGGTCTTTACTTTAATACTTTAAAGTAAAGTTTTACTTTAAAGTAATATGTTAAAGTATTACTTTAACAGTGCAAAAAGATAATGCACTGTTATCTTTTTTTTTTAGATAACAGTGCATCAGAGGAAGTCTAAGTTAGATGTTGGCCATATTAAACCTAACATCCCAAAATATGCTTAACGCATTTCACGTTGCAGAATGTTGCAGAAACAATCGGTCCCTTCAATGTGAGTCACTGTGCATGAATAAAGGTTAGGTACTGACTTCATATCACCTCTTGGTATAACAACCACTTTGAAGACAATCTAACGTTTCCATATGAATGTTTTAATTTGACAAAAGATGTACTACAATGAACTAACTATCTTGAAAGTAACGGGAACGGTGAAAAACAAGACTTGTGAGGATGTGTTGTAATGCTTCATTGACTAACTTTGAGGTGTAAAAAAAAACAATTAGACAGAGGGTCTGAGTTTATTTTGTTTGGCATCTTCACGTCATCTAGTCTCCACTGCGTGATATTCACACTCAGTAAGGAATGTGAATATCACCCCAGGAGAAGGTGATACACTCCTATGGAAAATGTGTAATCACCTGCATGACAAGTTTACTGGATTTAAAATGATGAATGTGGGACCGTCTTTAGAGGATCCGAAAGCTTTCATGTTGAACTTTCGTTTTGCAGCTCTCCCCCACTTTGCCCACCTTATCTCATTACAGCATCAACTTTGATTCCTCATCATTTCAGAGTATAATCCCTTCTGCCTTATTCAGAGCTCCTCCTCTTACACTGTTGAGAACTACTTGGGGGAGACATTATATAGATAATCTCACAATAATACAGGACATTAATCAAATCTATCAAAAAGCTGATGAACTTAATATGATTATAATCAAAAGGAGAAAGCAGACTGTTTACTTCTATTTGTTGAGCTATAAACTGTAGAAAAATGTTAGTCCTAAACTCCAGAGATGCTCCACCAACATAAAATATTTGATGTATTCTTAACCAAGGTTTAGGAATAAAAAAGATTTTTATACTTTCTTGACAATTTTAGAGTTCCAGAACGTTTAGGCTCAGCTGATATTTGAATTTGAAATGTTCATTCCTGCTACAATAGCCTCTTATTTTCACAAAGCAAGGCGCTAAGTGTGTTTTATCATATTAACACCCAGTTGAACTTTTTCACATTTTGACACATAATTAACAAACGTCAATGTATTTTATTTGGCTTGTTCGTGGTAGACCAAGACATACCAGTCCATAGTTGTGCAGTGGAAGGAAAACTGACACAGCTCTTTCAAGTCTTCCAAACACAAAACAATTTTTTCATTAATATCTTTGAAAAACCACATGTGCTTTGCCTTGCACTTCACAATTCCTCACTTCTTTGTGTTGGTCTGTCACCTAAAATCCTAACAAATCCCTTTGGGTTTGTGGTTTTTACCATCACAAAATGTGAAGAAGATCAATAGTGAGAATAAGTTTGCAAGGCTCTGTAAACATGACATAACCAAACTTCAAAGTGAGCACACAGCAGTCCACACCTCCACAGGGATCAGATACAAAATGATGATGCAGGAACAAATTCGATGTGAGCAAGTCCTGTTCCCTGGGGGTGAGCAGGGGGGTGGGGTGTATTGCATAACTGTTTTGTATTGGAAAAACAAAAAAAGGAGGAGGCAGAGGTTTGCTTTTCTTTGACTCACCCACCATCACACTCACTCAATCAAATTTGTAGAATCGTTTGTATTTATTAGCCACATATTTTTCAGACCGTCAAAGTCAATGCAGTGTAAACCAAAAGCTTCACAAAGTTTTTCTTCTTACAGTGATTTGCAGAAGTCGTTTTTACTAAAACTGGTGACTGAGTCAGTCACTGGACTCTATTCATAAGAAAGCGTTGTTTTCATAAAACCGATGCACATTCCTATCATTCAATATGTTTGGAAACAGGCTTCCCGGAGGCAGCTCACAGTCCACACAATATTGCCTGTCAGACAGGAAGGAGGTCTAAACTAATATTTTAAAGCCTCTGAGCCCCGCTGCTGAGAACGCAGATATGACTATCTTTAGTCATTTTTGTATAATTTGGTTCATATTATGAGTATACAACTTGGTATGAAACAGGCTGTCTTTACAGAAGCTAAATCACAAACACGGACATACAGAAGATGTAGGACAAAAACAAAGATGTAATATTCACGGTGATTATTTAGCAAAAATAAAGTGAGTATAATATCTATGTTTTCATGACATTGGAAATATGTGGACACCTTCTTTTAATCTGCAGAAATTACATATTGTTCTTACACGTTTATATGTTCCTACACTGTAACTTGGACTCATTTAAAGCTTTTCTTGTTTTTGATGCCAAAGCAAAGCAGATTGTGAGGTGAAATCTGTAATGAGACATTTATTTTTTATAGGATAACGAATCGTCACCAGTGTGGATTCAAATCTATGACTAATTTTACGCGAACATTATGTAATCAAACATCTGAAGGATCTAGTTAACTTAGTATTAGAATGACTATGAAGAGGCTTTGGATGTTGGCACATTAAAACTAATAAAGAAATTTGATGTCATTTATATCCCGTTTGGAAGATTTTGTTGAGTCACAAGAAATAAAACAAAGAAGTAAAGGTATTAAGGATGGCAAAAATATAAAAACAGTCACTGTTTAGTGAAGATTTACCTATCTTATACATATACAATTAAATAAAAATTATGTAACTAAGCATCTGTTTATACAATGGATTTTTAAAACTCAAAGTTTCAGGTTGTGTAGCTAAATTTAAAAAAGATGAAGATGCAAAAATTATAAATATTGCTGATCTAACGTTTCCTATTTTCCACATAAATACAAATGAAGGAACATAAAAATAATGACAGAGTGAAAGGTTATCCTGCTGTGAGAATCTTAGCTTTCTGACAACTACTGTAAAACAATTGTCTTTTTTTTGAGGACCTTACATATTCAAAGAACAAAATACAAAACAAATGGCTATTTCTGGATTAAAAAAAAAAAAATCAAACATCTTCTCCTCTAAATGTGAGTCGGTTCTCAGAAACACAGTCCTTGACCTGTAACCTGCAGTGGATAAACACTCAAATTTATCCGGTGCTGGGAACCAGCAGTGGATGTGTAACATGAACATCTGACTGGAGAAAGTCTTTTTTGTTTAGCGCCGTTGTAAAGCAGCCAAGACATTCAAAGTCTTTTCCCTCAGGTGCACAGTGTGCAGTAAATACACTCTTATCAAGCTGCTCCAAAAACTATTGATTCCCACCCGCATGAGAAGCCTGAGCGAAGTCAAAGCTGACCGGGTCAGTCAGATGGTTGGACTGGTTAACATGAACTGCTCAACTTTATCCTGGTGAACTTGATATCTAGTTTTCTTTGCCAAGTCCCAATTTAACTTATTCGACATTTTATCTTTTTGACATGTCAGACATCAAAGGAAAAATATGTACATTAGTTTCTTTTGTAGAAAGGGTGATTTTGAGCTAAAAATAAAGGAATAAGATTATCTTCATTGATGCATCGAAGCAGAGTAATACATTTAAAAAAAAAAAAAGTCATGGGGTATCTGAGTTTGGATGCATTTCATGAAGAGAAGATGGAAAAAAAGTGCTTTTCAAGGTCTGATCGATGTTTAATAAGCTGTGCATTTTTTCACTTTACCAAGGACTGAAATCAAAGATTTTAAAATAGTCTTTTTTTCTCTTTGGTGTTTTCCAAACACACAATATATTTTATCAAGACCGCATGGGAACATTAAAAAAAATCAAAATCAGTTTTCTTTCAAGTATAAATTCTCTGTTTTAATTTTGAAACAATGCAGATTGTCTGAAGGACAAGTAGCTTTAAATCCAACTGAAAATTAAAACGTATGCAACAAGAATATTCTGCAATAAGCCTGTGTTCATAGCCTCTATTGCATTTTTATTACACTCAAAGAAATGCATCAAAGTACATGCTCTTGGTTAGAGTGAAAATAGAGGGGGCTGTAAGTCTCGAATCGCATCATAAATAGAGTTTATTTTCTTTTCATAACATCTGACCTGCCAGTCACTTAGCAGAGCCGTTCAAGGGAAAGTTGGCTGATTCTGAGTCTTGCCGGATTGATTGAAACTCATCCTTTTGCAATTTTAACATCCACATTCCTGTCCCTCTGAGAAAAGCTACATAACCACAGGTTATGCGGGGTTGAATGTTTTCTCACAGAAAATCCTCGATGGCATTAACTACCACATATTTAGTGTGGAAGCTCCCCCCACATGGAGCTTACTAAGGCCATACATGTAAGCTTTAGGTTTCGTTTCCTAAACAAAGAATATTTACATCTGCACTGTATAGAAACAGTACAACAACACCTAAGCTTGACAGTAATACTGTGTAAAATGACATGGCACACAGTAATTCTTCTCTAATGACTTCTGTCAGACTAAGTGAAATGGGAACAAATATATATGTCCCACTGAAACTACTAAATACTGAATTCCTTGACAATAACTGCACTAAATGGTGCAGTTAGTATCATTTAGTGCACACTCTTTGCACACATGAAGAGTGCGGCTTTGCAACGCATTCACTGTGGTTTATTCCCCCATACTGTCCAGCAGTCGCCTGCTCGACTGCAGCACAGTTGTCCGCACCAACGTGAACGTGTCCTCCTCGCATGTGACCGGCTGTTCTTTGCCCAACGGCAGCGAGTGATGGCGGGCATCACGTTCCTTACCTTCTTCACCGACTTCAGAGTCGGGACCGCGGTGAACGCGGCGGAGGGCATCTCTCCGACGTTCATGTTCACGTCGCTGCTGTTCTTGCTGACGGTCAATGCGGAGTATTTTTCCGCGACGTTTTCGGTCTCTTTGACATATTTGGTGGCCTGCTTGACCTCCGTTTTGCTGTCCACTGCCGAGTCTGTCATCGCATCAGAGTGACACTAAAAGAAGGAGGAGATGAAGCCGGTTGTCTGGGGAGTTTAAACTAACGTTAGCTCCGTCCGTCGCCTTCTTTGCTTCTTTGGTGTGTGGTTTAAAAATGACCGAGCAGGTCCTGCAATCTATAGAAGTAAGAATTGGACGCCTGGGTCAAGTTTTCTGGCTTCTTTCATTCCCTACGAGCGCTGCGGAGGCAGTTGCTGGTCCTGCGTCGCGCTGTCAACCTCAGACAGAAGCATCTCTGATGGGAGGGGGCGGCAGGCTCAGCCTGTCACCTGAGGGAAGTAGGCTGTGTTCAGGCGGTGAGCGTCCACACAGCGCTCCAACCGGAGGACAGGGTTCAGAACAGAAAGACGGGAAATTCTATTCCTGAAGAGTTTTCATAATATCTGCGTCCTACTTGTCTAGCTCGTCGTCAGTTTGCATAAAGTAGACCTCAGTCCGTAAAGCCTGTTTGACCGTTGCCAAGGAGGCTGAGAACAAGTCCCGCCTTCTTTGCTGTGATTGGTTGACTCTGAGATCCATCTAGACAATCCACCGCTTCTGATTTGCTGCGCTTATTAAGCTTAAAGGGTCCTGAACAGGGATGGATTGAAAAAAAAAAACATTTTTAAATAGTTTTAGCCTGTTTAGAACATTAATGATTTGGGCAGGATCGTCGGAGGAAGAATACTCGAGTACATAGAAAATACTCGAGATACCATGTACTGTCATGTATCGGTTTGCATATATTGAATGAAAACCGAAAAAGTAAAAAAAAAAAAAATTAGAAATGGTCCTCCTTAAAACAAAAATAGGCAATCTAGGAGTAACACGTTAAAATGTTATTTGATTTGCTTAGATGCTGGAGATTGACATTTCAAATAAAAGAATGCTTTTATAAAGCCTTAAAGAGCATTGTTCTGTGCCTTAAGACCTTAGGTGAAGCTCCAAATTAAGCAACCTTTGGGGTCTCCCTCCACCTTATATGACATCCTAATCAAACAAAAGAAAACCTCGCTCTTAGTGTGCCACCCCAGGATTATAAGATCTCCCCCTTGTACATCCCTTTGAAAACTTTCTGCAAAGGCCACTGTACCTCTACAAAAAAAAATGCATTTAGACCAAAAGGCTTTGGGGTCACAAATGTCTTGGAAAGACACAACCAGGTGCAAATAAACTCCTACTATTACAATTTATGATAACATTATTTTCCAGCTCACATTTATTTACAAGTTACTAGTGCTTGGCAGGTGAATTGTGTATGCTAGACAGGGAAGCCTGTCACAGGATAAATACTGCACAAACTAAAGAAAAATGACTACAGACAGCATAAGCTAGACTGATGTGCAGATTCACAAGTTAAATATCCAAAGCAGATTTACACCTTGATTATAAATTGCAGGCAAAAATGTGTTGTTTTTTTTAAGAAAAAATGTAACGCATGTCTATTTGATTCTACTTTATATCTGCATGCTATTGTGTGGCATCACATAATATCCCAAAAAAACACATTAAAGTTTGTGGCCGTAAAATCCCAAAGGTTGGACGCCTAGGTCAATGAATACCTTTACAAGGCACTGTATTTGGTTCAACTAAAAAAATAAAAAATAAAAAATGTCTGCCCCAGTTAAGACTCCAGGGGCTTTCCTAATTAGTTCTTAAGTAATGAAACAAAATATCTCATTTCTTAATAAATTTTTAATTGACATGTTTTTATGAAGACAATGTCCTTTTCACAATTATAAAAAGAAATATTAACATTGGCAGATGCTGATGGATAAAAATCTCTATCTACAAAAAAAAAAAAAAAAAAAACACCTAGGTGGACTTACAGATGAAAAGTTCTCAACTATACATGAATGAAGTGTGTATTACAAAGAATTGCTCTTTTTTCCCCAGCAAAACACAAAGTCCAACTATAAATTGTATAAAATGCATCCACAGAACAAAAGTCCTTCTATACAATGTCTTCACATTACTATCACTTCTCTGGAGCACCATGTACTATGCAGCCATTAGGCAAGTCCAAAAAGTACATGGATTTAAATAATTACATTTTTATGTAAAGGAGGAATCAATGATACAAAACAGCAGGGTAGCATAAAGTAACAAATGCATCAGAAAAAAAATGGTACCATTAAAAAAACAAAAAAGTGTCAACTGGAGACAGATCAACAAATTGTCAACAGACCATAGTCTGAGTGTATGGCTTTGTGACTGTCTCCCCCCCACCCCCTGTGCGATGAGTTGACAAAAAAAAAAAAAAAAAAAAGAACCTTAAAACTGAAAAATACACCGAAACTGGGCTCAGACAACATGATAACATCCTCCATTTTAATGAAGACCAGAAAAGTCTCCTGGCTCAGCTGTGGCACAGCCAGCTCCCTGGAAGACCAGTCAAGAAGTTGAGAGAGAATAGAAAAACGCCACAGTGAAAGCACTGCTAGGTGTGTTGAGGACTACAGAAGAGTGTGTCGGATGGTTAGCTGGGTTGAAGAGTCACAGGCAGGTCATGATGTCAGGGAAAACGCTAGGACACTCTGATCATCTGAGTCACTGTCTCATCTGTTGCTGCCGGGGCGATTTCCTGCTGCGAAAAGAGCATCCATTTAGTACGAGAAGTTTTAACAAGGCTTCCTGCTAATTTTAAATGTCTTCATTTCATACTTTTGCAGACAAATTATTTTTTTGTTTGTACGTATGTCTGTGGTACAGATGTTTACATGAACATATTCAAGAAATGTCATACAAGTATGGAGATAAATCTAATATGTAGATTATTAATTGTAGGACTAAACACAATTGTACACTGTCTTTTTTGGAACTGTTCAGCTGAGGAAGAACTCAGCATACAGAAGTTGGATTTGGCAGTGTGGTAAAGCGCTACTTCCCTTTGTGATTAGATAAGCACTATTTTGAAATCTAACATGTCAACCAAACCGGAACACTTGCATTAAATACAGGAAATAACAACGTCAAGATTTCTCTTGTTTTACCTGTAAAGTTCACCCAAATCTTAGCGCTTTGCTAAACAAAACACAATTCCAAAATCTTTAAAAACATCAGGTTTACTTTTAAACCTTGTACTTCACAGGGAAGCCAAAACAACAAACAAAAACACCAATAAAAATATCAACGAAATTACCCTTAAATTCTGTTGTGGAAAAGCATTGCATAATCATGGGTTCTGTTTCTATCTTAAAACAGACAATCAGTTAGAATGTGATTAAAGGTCAATATAAGAAGCTCTCTGTAAAAATTCTGAAGCTTATCTTTTAAATGATAAAATAAGAACTAAATTGTAGTAATGTATTTTTCCATGCTAAGTTTTTGTCACTCCATACTTATCCGGACTTGGAAAAGCACAAAACAGAATTCCATGATTTCCAAGAGTTTTCACACATGCCTAGGAACATGCTCTTAAATCTGAAATTACTCATCCTTTATGAAAGCTTAAAAATGTCTGACAGACAAGTTGCAACTTTGGGGGTTGTCTTCCCCCCAAACCCTCATCATAATTTCTTACTTGCGATAGGCCTAAAGCCGCCTCCTCCTTTTCTTTAGGGGAAAAGAACCGCCCTCCGTCTCCACGCTTACGCTGCATAGCATGACGGTGACGAGACTCGTGTAGATATTTCTGCAGGAGACAAGGAAATAAATAAAAATAAAAATATTGGTACGTCAAAAAATTTTAATTCACTGATTTATTCCCTTCTGTATTATTAGATAATAGAAGGTCATTCCCCCGTACCAGAAGATTTTTTTTTACTTTTTTCCATGATGTACAAAAAGCAAGCTTCTTACTATGTTCATAATAACGTTTTATAGTTTGTGTTTATTTGTTTTGAAGAAAAGAGAAAAACCCACACATGCTGCAAGTTTATATTTATATTAAGAATAAATGGCAATCTCTCAAGTTAATTGACCCCTATGCCTATAAATATGGGTCTAATGTATTAAGGTCAGGTCCCTAGAAGGCCCGTTGGACTTCAGAAGACAAGTGATTATGCCAAAAAAGGTCCTACATAGAAAATATGAACAAGTAATACACATAGTCCTATGGCAACAGTACACTTTCCCTCTGATGCACTTGAACAGACATAACACTACCTAAACATTGCTACTATACTGTGAAACTGTGGTATTTTTTTTACTAATTTTGTCATACTGCAACAACTTCCAACCGCCCCAGCTGGGGATGTGAGAAACAATCCAAGATGGAAACTGTTGCCAAAATAAATTAGCACAGTTCAAAAACAGTTCCACTGTCTTCCACTGCAGGTTAAATATTTGAGCCATTTTCACACAAGTACAAGTTACAGGATAGACAGTTTATTCAAGAGCCTTATTGACAACCATCAGTAAAGGCAGTTTATCGTAGTTTTTTCTCTAAGGGAAACGAGCACTGCATACCCTCCTCTCCTTGGGGATCTTGCCCTCAGCCTCCAGTTTGGCCCGGGCTTGCCTTCGCTTCAGAATACGATGGTATTGTTTGGCGTTGACGTACAGAGGCTCTTCCTCCAGCATTTCAGCTCCCGGGAGGGGGATACGCTGCATGGTGGGAACGCCGCCTCCACCCGGCACCATCTGATAAACGCAGGAAAAGAAACATAAACAAAGTACTCAAAATCCTTTACCGTGTTTAATACTTAAAAATATGCAGATGTATAAATCAGACATGGCAAGTTACCATACAACACTTCACTGCCATCACACCTTTTGCAACTAAACAGACGCTTTCATTTTAAGTACTTAGTTTTAACCGCGGGATGATTCAGGCCTGATTGCTGCTTTCAAAGTCAATTCTGCAAACCAACAAAAGCCCCAAAAGGTGGACTATGTCAAATTAAAATTTATTAAAATCTATTAGTCTTATGAACATTAATAATGGAAATGCTAAAGGTCTTTACATAAAGAAAACACATAGCAGGTGTGATGACTCATGGGTGTATAACTTAACATATTCAGACAACACTGAAATAATCCAGACGACCTCTGTGGCAAAGCCAGAAACTGGCTACTGTTGGTGCTCGTTTCCCCAAACTCTGCACCCATGTGTCAGACTATATGTAAAAAGACAGGGGGAAAAAAATAAAGATGCTGAGTACCTCTGCACAGGGTCTTACCATGACCATTCCACCTGCATTGACCATGTTGCCGGAGACAGGCAGGGTGACGGTCACAGTGCCTTGGCCGCTGTTGGTTGTGTTGGTGTTGGCGCCCCCTGTTGCTTGCACTATCTGGGCACCGGCCAAGCTAGCAGCAGGGATTGTGATCATTCCTGGAGAGAAATAATTAGCACAGACATTGTTGAGCTAAAAATAAATAAATAAGCTTATGAAGTTTGCACACAACAAAAAAAAAAAGAACAAAGAATTGTACCCTGCTGTAGAACAGAGCCATCTGCATTGACGGGCTGGTAGACAATGGTCTGTCCGTCAGCTGTCTGTGCCACCTGTTGACCTT